CTAAAATCATTTTGGGCCATTGAAATCCACACTCTTCTTGCAGTGATCTTTCCTGTGTAGTCATCCTGGGTGTAACGTAAAATCAGTGTGACCAATAGAATACCAGCAAGCCACAAAACACTTGCACTTTCTCCATGTATAACAATTACACTGGCTTTCCTCACAGTGTAGATAGGAACATGACTTAGTGTTTCACCGAGAATGTGGATCAGGTCAAAATACTGCCAGTTGCCTTTGAATCTCTCTGTGAATTCGGAACAGATTCCATTTTGGGAAAGCATTGACTCCTTGGTTTGCAAGAAATGTTCTGCATGTTCATCATCCGTTGTGATGAGCTCGATCCATTTCCAGTGGAAATGGAGAAGAAGTTGCACAATTCCCTGATACTGAAGATCTTCATTGGGGACCATCCGGTAGAAGGAAGGCAAATGGGATGCTTTATTCACTGTTGTTTGAAATGAGCCGTATGAGAACTGAAGAAAGTAAAGGACAGACAGACGGACGGACGGAAGGAAGGAAGGAAGGAGTCCAAAGTGAGACTGAGAGCTTCTTCATTCATGATAGTCATCAACTTTATTCTCATCTTTTCTAGATAATATAATTCTAACCAACAAGTTCATACAGATGAATACAATACAAAATTTAAAATACATTGAACAGTACATTCATCTCTAGTCTTAGTTTTACTCTGAGATAAGGGGTATAAGATTGCAGCCTCAAAGAGCAATGCTATATGCACCTGCCCATAAGGAAGGCTAACTCAATTAAGTGAAATAAGATTCAGTCCCAGCTCAGAGAATATATCAGAGTTTGGGAAAGAGGAAAGGTTTGGTCTCCTTCAGCATGCAGAACCTTTCCCCTGGTGTAAACTGGGCAGCCAGGAAAGAGATGTTCTCATGTCAGAGGGGCAAAAACCTGGATTCCAATATGTGAGAATGACAAATTTCTATTGTTTATCACCGGGCTTGGGAGAAGAGGAAGATCATGTATGAGAAAGAGAAATGACAATCAAGAGACAGCTGAGATTTTGCAAGAGCTGAGCAGG